CGGTGTCAACTTAACTGCAGCAAAACCCTCGTGGAGATTTATTTCTGTCGATTACAGAGCTTGGGTAAAGCGTGCACCACCTTTTTTTATGCACTTATATATATATATATTTTGATGGCGGAGTGAGGGCGTGTTGTTGTTTGCCCCCTCCCAGCTTTTCGTGCTTCTCACTCTGCGAAAATGCCTTCCTGAGGCGGAAATGCCTCTTGCTACCTCCCCAGTCAACTTTTGTGTCTGACTTTTTAGGTGGCCGGTCGCAAGGGATTCCCTCATGTGATTTACGCCCGTCTTTGGAGGTGGCCTGATCTTCATAAAAATGAACTCAAGCATGTCAAATACTGTCAGTATGCTTTTGACTTAAAATGTGACAGTGTCTGTGTAAACCCTTACCATTATGAGCGTGTAGTGTCGCCTGGCATCGGTAAGTAGACTCTTGATTTAAAATGGAACAGTGGGAATAAGCTGTGAGGCGTTTTTCAGCGTAGAAAACACCAGGCCCGAGTTAGAAACGTTAACTTCTAGTGGTCTGATTACAAATTACTCCCGTGCTCCCATCCGTGTTCTGCAGGGAGTTGTTCTTCTGCCTTTTTATTTGTCCTAAATTTGAAGGAGCGGGGTCGTGGCTTTTGTTTAAGCCTTTCTGTTGGCTTTGCACGCAGTTCCTGGAGCTGATGTGTATCCTAGGGATAACTTAGCCTGGAGACTTGTGCTGTGATGGAGGGGGTCTGGTATGTGAGGTCTGCAGTACTAATCTTTAAAGGCTTGCAACTGATTAAAACACTCTCGAAGGTTTGTGTATATAATCCTCCACAACCCCTTTTTTTCTCTTATTTTTAAAGATCTATCAGGGCTGACACTACAGAGTTCTGGTAAGTAGTTCTGGCTGCTGCTGCATTTCTGTGGGCACAAACTGTGTTGAAACCCTGCAAGTACCTACAGGGTTTATTCCCCTGTCTCTCTGGGAGGGAGTATCAGGAGCAGGTGGCGGTGCATTTGTCTCTCTGGCTTTGGAAAACCAGCTGAGGAGAAGTGTTCACGAATCCTTTAAATTGCCTAGGTAGCACGTGAGAGGCAGGTACTGATAAATTCCTTAAATGGAGGCTTCAGACAAACTGGTTGCCTGCATTCTGCTGTTCGTTGCCTCCAGCTTGTAGAGCCAAACAAACAAACAGAAAGGAAAACAAAAAACCTTGAATGATGCTGATTAACGTAAAAAGGACACCCAAAACCCTGTGGATTGACACGCTGGTTAATGGAGTTGGGGATAAATAAACCCTTGCAGTTTAATTAGTAGTCGAAGAAGAAAATAATAAAAATTCTGCAGTTGACATGCAGTTGAGTGAAGGGGCCTAAATACTCTTGCTTTCCCTGAAACTTGAGAGAAATTGGACATCAAAAATGCCTGATGAACAGGCAACTGCTTTTATTTCAAAAACTGGTAACTGCTTTTATCTCAGAACTGATTTTATTCTCCTTCCAGAACAAATTCACAGAGAAAGAAACCTGGTGTAACCCGGTGTTTTTTAGCACACTACTAGGAGCGTCCAAGCAAAAAAAATTGCTTAAACCCCCCGCCCCTCAACCCACCCATGAAACTCAACTTCACAAGTTTTAACTCGTGCGCTCCATCTCCGCTGATTTGCACCGTTACCCCTTGTCTTCCAAAAAAACGACCCTTTTGTGCAGAACCAGAGCTCCCCGACCAGCCAGCAGTTAAATGCATCACGGGTGCTTCCTTGTGTCCTGCCCAGTGCTGGTTTTCCCACCGGGGGAAGCAGAAAATTGCTGTCAAGAAGATTTTGACGCTGCTTTAGGCTTGCTTTAAAAACGAGCACAGGAGCTGAGGTGCTGTGAGAGCTTTGTTTGGGCAGGCTCAACAGCAAATACAGAAATAAGTCGTTGCAGTGGCAGTGGTGGTGATTTCCTTGCGCTGCACGTGGAATACCCTGGGTTGCTGCCTGCGTTGTTAAATGTAGAGTGACTTTATGGGGTCTTTGAATTTGAATTTAATGTTTCTAGCCAGTTTGTGTGGGAGTTGCTGGAAATTACTCCGGGGAGATGCATGAAGTTTTTAGTGCTGTGCTCATGAATTATGTTTTTCGTAGGGGGCTTTATGTGTGTTCTTTGCTTGTACACTTAAGAATTGGTTTGTTAGCTGCTGCCTTAACATTCGTTTAGTTGCTTGACAAAAAGCATGTTTTTCCCTTTTATTAACCGTGTCCAATCAAATAATGATGGACTGCGAGACAAAACGCTGCTGAAGTCTGCTGCCTGTGGGACTAAACTGCTTGCCTGAGAGCATTAAGCAAAATAAACAGCTTGCTTTTCCATCCAGCCATGCCTCAAAATTCCCCGCCGCCGGCTCGGGGCTGTTTATTTGTAATTTAGGGGAGTGCTTTGGCAACGCTTACGCGGTTTAAATCCTCCAGTTTTTTAATGGCTTTGTCATTGCTCGAAAATAGCGCAGCTTGTGCCGGGTCCTGGGGGTGGTCTGGTGCGTGCTGAGCCCCTCTGTGTGTGTCCACAGCTCCATCCAGCATGCTGGTGAAGGACGAGTACGTCCACGACTACGAGGGGCAGCCGTCGCTGAGCTCCGCCGAGGGACACTCGGTGCAGACCATCCAGCACCCACCAAGTAACAGGGCCTCGACAGAGCCTTATAGCACCCCAGCCATGTTAGCTCCCACTGAGGCTAGCACTACCAGCACCACTAATTTTCCCAACATTCCCGTGGCTTCAACAAGTAAGATCATCGAGATTGACGCGGGAACGCTGTGAGAGCGCCGGAGCTCAGAGGGGCAACTCGCTGAGCTTTGCCAGGGCAGGTCCTGCAACTGCAGCTGTGCTGCTGCTGCTGCTGCTGCACCACGCTGGTAAAAGCGTGTGGTGATACGATCTGAGAGTTTAAAAGTCAGGTCTTAACCTGGAGCAGGGTGACCCAGCCTTGTTTTCGGTGCCGCTGGCGCTGCGTGGGTCTTACGAGACTGTTCTGGCCGTGCTGAGGTTCAAGTGACAAAACCTTAAAACCTCTAACAAAGTGTTGTGGCCGTTGCTGTTGATCGCTGCAGAAATGGAATTATTGTTTCGTGACAACAGCAAGCAGAACAGCAAACGGACAGTGCTGTAATTTGGCAGAGTCAAGAGATTCTAAGGCAGTTTTCTTTAGTCTTCCAGTTTTGACTCGGTTATTTTTACAACGGGCCCGCTGTGCTACCACAGTGGCAGCCCCTGGTTGATATTTCCGTGAGTCTGCCTTGAAGATTTTTTTTTCCCTTTCTTTTCTTCGTGTAAGTTTGGCACAGGTGGAAGAGCCTGGTGGTGTCCCAGCACCAACACCTCACAGCAGAGCAGTTGCATGCACTGCAGCCCTCACGTGGGGGATACCGCAGAGTTTCGGGGGGGGGGGGGTTCCACGTGAAGGACGTGTGGTGTGAAATGTGATTGAGTTCGTTTTACCAGACCTGAGTTAACGTTTTCCTAACGTTCTTCAATTTTAGCTGGCAGCTTTTTTTTTTTTTTTTTTTTTCCCCCCCCATCCCTCCCTAAAGCCAACGATGGTGTGGCCAAGCTGAGATGTGACGCCTTGTGTTTGTTGTCTCCAGCAGAGGACAAAAAGGATAGGCAGTTAGTTGTGTTGCCTTTGCACAACAGTTCATAGTCAGTAACTTTTTCTCATCAGTGCTATAATTGTTGGAGCCAAGTGGTGGACAGGGGAAAAAAAAAAAAGCTAATTTTTAGGTTTTAGTTCAAGTTCTCGATGTGTTAAATTCTGCTAGCCACACCAGTTTGAGAGTGCAAGTGTACCTGTGAAACTGCTGATCAGTTTAGAGTTAATGGCTGAGCTGAAGCCTTTTGAAGTCAAATTCCTTTAACCTGCTGTGAAATATCTGTAATTTTACTTTAAATCTAAGGCAGTCCTTGAAATATTTATTTGGGAGAAAAAAGAAAGCACAGCAGCTTTCTGAGGAAGGAGTCCAGTGATGTGTGCAAGCTCTGTTGGAGCACTCTTTATAAAAGTAAAGTGCTGGTCAGTATGTTTGGGAGGAACATAAGTTTTAAGTGAGTGTCCTCCTTAGGAACAGTAGTTAAAACATGCTGAAAACAAGCAGCTTATTGGACCTGCTGTTGGCCTGTTTGGATTCACACCAAACCTACTCCCAGTAAAAGCTGTGGCACCTCTTTTTCTTTCCTTTCAAACTGCAGGGTGAGATGTGACCGAGACAAAGGTGTCAGAGTCAAAATTATCTGATGGCAGGGCATTTTGGTTCAGGTTTCCTAAGACACTCTGGCGGGTGGAAATTAAAATACTTGAAACCAGACTTTGTAGGAACTGTGCATTTGCAGTTGCCCTTAGTGGGGTGTATTTTCCTACCCAGTAGTGCTGAGCTCTTCTTAATTAAAATTTTGGAACGTTCATGAATAGGTAGTGTGTTCTTTTACCAGGTCAACCTACCAGTATATTGACAGGTAGCCATAGTGATGGACTCTTACAGATTGCTTCAGGGCCTCAGCCAGGAACTCAGCAGAATGGGTTTACAGCTCAGCCAGCCACTTACCACCACAGTGAGTATTCACATACGTGCACTCCTCTTAGCTTTCCAAAACCAGTTCCCGAAATGCTCAGCAGGAATATAGAGGAATTAGAAGGGAGACGCGGAGAAACCCCCCTTAAAAACCAACCCGCTGCTCTCTCTCTCTGTCTCTTTGTTTTTCTCTCCAGACAGCACCACGACCTGGACTGGGAGTCGGACGGCAGCCTACACACCCACCATCCCTCACCACCAGAACGGCCACCTGCAGCACCACCCGCCCATGCACCCCAGCCACTACTGTAAGCAGGGCTCACCACACACCCCCCGCTGCACCCACGGCTCTCTGGGCTGGGGGGGGGGCAGGCCCTTGTGCTGGTTTGAAGGTAAAACCGGCGGGGGAAATGAACCCAGCTCGAAGGAGACGTTCATGAGTGGGAATAACAGCTTAATAAAATAGCGCGATTGTACGGGCAGGCAGCTGGGTTCAACCCACCAAACCCAGATGGATAGCCCAGCACCCTGGGGCACGAACAGAGTGGTGTTTGTTGGGCCCCCTGAGTCCACAGTAAAAGGAGAGGGGAAAACCTGTTGGTGAGAGTGGTGGTGCAGTCTGGTCAAGAGTGGTGGTTGCAGTCTGGTGAGAGTGGTGGTTGCAGTCTGGTGAGAGTGGTGGTTGCAGTCTGGT